GTACGCCGCCCTACGCTCACCCGCCCTGCACGTCTGTGCGGGTGTCTGTACTCGTACGCTGACAGGATGGATCCTGTCTGCGTCCGAGCTGGGATACCCGCACCCGTACAGACCTGCACTTGGGGTGAGCGTAGTCTGCGTATGGCCGCGTACCCCCATAGAGAAGGACACGGGCTCCATACTAATCACACGCAGCACCTGTCTTTCCCGGGTGCTGCCCGATACGGTCGTGCACGCAGCACAGAGCTGTACATGCCGGCCTTTTCTCGTGTGAATGAGGCCTAAAGGTGAATTGTCTAAACTCTCTGATTTGGGCACAGTTGCACCATTTCGATTTCTTAGAGTGACTTTCAAACATTCGAACACTCTGCCTTGTCTTTGGCCGATTGTCACACATTTGGGCCTGAGGCCAGACATATTGTCTGATTGATTTTTTTTAAAATTAAATTACATATAAATTTACGTAACACATTTATGTATGTACATACATACATACACACATATATACATACATTCATGGGGGGGAGAGGGGGGGAAAAGAAGTCCAAATGTTAATTGAATTAATCCCCATAGGAGGAGTGCGTAGATATTTCTATTTATTCCTCTATCTCTTGAATTTAAATACTATATTCTTCATAAATTCTTACCCCACCACCCACATATTGTCTGATTGATAAGTGGACCCATATGTGTATGTTTGCCCATTACCCTATGCCCCTGCCCTTCCATCAGGCCCTTCGGTCCCTTCTGATGTTAGTTTACTCAATGACTTGATGCCCTGGTGGTAATGATCGGGGAGGGCCGGTGCTGGGAACTCTATAACTATGGGTATTTGTTCAGCCGATGAGGTAGGAGGTGACACATCGATGGCATCAAGAAAGACAGACGTCTCTGTTTAGTGACAACGAGGTGAGGAATTCTGTCGCTGTCCTCAGCACACATAGATATGCACATACTCTACTTGTCAACTGTCCCCCTGACAGGCAAAGGCACTGGATATGCACATGACACATCAGATGATTTTTTTGTGGCTGATAATTTGGTAAATTCCATGTTGTTGCCAAAATTGTTGCCATTGATAGATAATACTATACAGGTAAGTACCGGTAACAGGTAACCGGTACACATAACAATATATGTTATGTGTGCTGGTGTTTGATAGAATGATTAGCACTAACCATGGTCATAACATTTACATAATAATATTTGTGCCGTCTTTATCAGGATAATATTACCTTTTATTATATTGATTTACATTACATTACAGGGTCCAGTCATACCATATCCGTGCTTTCTGGTACAGTTTGCTCCCGGAAGGCACTGGATTGCATAGATCAAGCCGGGCAGCGTTCTGGGGTGAGAGGGGGGGCGAGTTGGTGCCATTCATGTCAATGGCACCGCAGACACACCCAGTACGATCGCCCACACGGGAACGGGAGGTACCCTCCATTCCAGTGCAGTGCGATCTGAAAAACCGACACGCCCCCTTCCGCCACAGAACGCTGCCTGGCTTGATCTATGCGGTCAAATGGATATGGTGTTACTGGGCCCTCAAGGAGCTTACAATCGTAGGCCCCGATCACACCAGGGCTGAAACGCATACACATGAAAATCCCATGCATGCCTATGGGGTCACGCAAAAGCGCTGAATCGCGTGTCCAAATACGCCTGTCGATTGAAATACTCCAAAATTGAAATACTTCAACAGGTATTTTTCTGTACATGGGAGGGTCTTACATCAAGGGCGGAACTAGAAATCACGGGGCCCCATAGCAATATTTTGTATGGGGCGCTGTGATTTCTAGTTACTTCCCTTGCAGAGTCCACCTGAGATCCCAAAAAGCCCACATGAGAGTGACCGTTACACCCCTGCACACCTCTTACCTGTCAGCCCGGATCCGCTGTCTGCCAGGCCCAGCCTCCTCCCCCGCAAGCTGCTGGCTGTCACTGACTCAGCAGCGGCTGTGAGGAGGAACGCGCCGCTGCAGACATCACTGACAGGTTGTCCTCCTCACAGCTGCCAGTGACAGCCAGCAGCCTGGGATGCCATAATGACCCAGGCAGCCCGCACGGCATCAGGGGGACCGCTTTGTTCCTCGTCCTGGCCGGGTCCCCCTGTGCCCCGGGCCCCATAGCAGCCAATTGGGTTGCTATGGCAATAGTTCCACCACTTTTCTACATGGAAAATGCTCATGTGTTAGAGTTGGTCTGCTTCTTTTTCTGTATTTTGCTCCGACATACACTTTAAAGAAGGCGTAAAAGTGACAGTTGGTAGTATTTTTGATGAAATTACATAACAGGAAGCCAAACGTTCGTCCAAAAATAACGTTCCTCGTGTTTCCTGCAATCACTTCTTTGTACAAAATCTTGAATGTTTTACATATTTGTGTATGCAGAAGAGTTTATAAGATAAGATTATAAGAGTTTTATATATGTCAACTTGTCCTAATGAAAGGTGAACTGCAGGCAAACAGCTAAATACATCGATGGAATAAGGGAGATGTTTTACCTGCCAAATATTTGTATTTCTGTCAATGGTTATGAGATTTACACAGCTCTGGCACACCACACAGCATGGTCCGGCAGGACAGGAGACCTGTTTTTTCTCTGCTGCACTTAAAGGAGAACTATGGGGTTAAGGCTTTTCCCCATAGTTCTCCTTAGGGCAACGGGAGGACACAAACTAGCGTCCTCCCGTCACCCTAGGCTCAGTTACTGAGACGCCGCAGTATACCGCGAGCTGCTGCCGGGACAATTGTGCAGGGATCCGCCAAGCTGCGTGACTGACAGCTGGCTCTGCCTATTTAGAGGCAGAGCCAGCTGTACCCGCCCCCTCCCCCGTCCGTTCCGCCAGTCAGTGAAAAGCACTCACCTCATAGTTCTCCTTTAAGTAACACTCGCAGGTTTGCCCCTCCATCAACCTGTGACTGGACAGTAAAAAGAGAAGCAGCAGTCTGATGAGTTCATGTTGTTAGGACATGAGTACTGCTGCAGAGTGTTTTGGCTCCTTGTGCTGCTTCTCACTTCATGAGCTCTGCTGTACTGGATTGACAGAGGCTGATACCAAGTCAAATTCAGGTACTTACACTGCCTGCATTTTAAAAAAATGAATGCAGAACTAAATGTCTAAATGTAAAAACATGCTAGCAGCGAGGTATTTGTGGTCGAAGAGACTCTGTATGTATCTTCTGCTTTAAAATCCCCCAGCCTGCTAGAATCATTTATATGAATTGTACATGGAGAGCCATGCATGTGCAATTCAGTGTACAGTCCTGGCAGTCATGCAATGTACATGATGACGGACGCCGTGGGAGCATCTGCATCCCGGAAAAGTGGAGATCGCTGAACCCAGCTGGAGCAGGGGTAAGGTAAGTAATACAGCCACTTCTTCTCCCCCCTAGAGCTAATGAGCAATTCACCCTTGTAGTGTGTGTGTGTGCGTGTGTGTGTATTTGTTTTCCCAGTGCGGAGTTCAGCTTTAATGCATATGTAAATCCACTAACAGAAATTTCACATATTGCAGCCTTACAGCACTTGGATGTGGTGGCTACATTAGTTTCCTTTTTCTCAGGTTTTTTACGCCTTTGTTTCCCCTGTGATGCTGCCAGTAACAAACTTCCTGTCCTAGAGTGACAACGCTCATTGTACTGCCCATTTAGAGGAGCAGTGTTGTCAAGCTAGGCTGCTCTCCTTATTTGGACCACAAGCACCTCCTCTGCTCATCTCTATTGCGCAGAGGGATGCTGCTTTATAGTTCACAGGAGATAGCTAAGAAAGCTGCTTATATTGTCTAAGATTTCAGTTCAGTCCACAGCAAGTTACAAGAGGGAAAACTTTCTGATGGGACCAACAGATATATTTCTGCACTTGCAGAAAATGTATACTTAACCTAAAAAAAAAAAGAAAATGAACGCAGCCACATGTAAGGGCTGCAAGGCTGCAATATATGACATTTTTGTTCTTGGGTCTACATATACTTTAATGCTTCCACACAGACTCCTGTGCAGGAGGAATCTGCAGCCTGTGTGTCAGGATGAGCTGGCAGTCCTGCTGGACGTCAGCGCTTCTCCTGAACTTGTTGAATGTTGCAGCGTACATGCTTGCCGTGCACGTGTGCCTTTGCCTGCGGTGAATGTGACATGCAGTGCCAGGCTGAGTCTCATGTTGCAGCTGGCAGAGGTAACACAGTTTCAGGAAAGGGTAGAGCAGGGGGGTATATTATTCTAATCCCGCAGAACTCCTCCTCTCCCTCCACCCCAATCACCCCCTCCCCTTCTACAGGTCTGGGGTATAGAGGGAGCTGTGAGGAGCTGTCAGGGACAGGGGGAGAGAGGGAGACTCCAGAAAGTCACAAGAGACTGATAGAAAGTAAGGCAGGGAGTCATAACGGGAATGCAGAGACTGGAGACGGGAAAAGTTAGGAAACAGACAAGAGAATCAGAGAGGAGATGCGATGAAGAGGTGTGAGAGCTGGAGGGAAAAGGAGAATGCAAAATAAAGAATTTGGGAAGTAAAAAAGTGAGCTAGAAGTGGAAAGAGAAGAAAAAAAGGTTTTGGGAGAAGAACAAGAGATGGAAAAAGTGTCATGCTGAGCCAGCTAACTTCAGCCAAGGACGGTCCCACTTTGTGACAGTGACTATTCCTGACATACAGAACAGATCCAACAGCTCTGGTCTCCTGAGAAAGGGGCACAAGTGACGGACCTCAGCTCAACGAGCGGCTTGCCAAAAGTCATAAAGGACGAATTCTGTGTATGTTCCTAAAAGTGCCGTTGAACTTAGGAGACAAAAAGATTCTTTCTGGACTGGCTCAGAAGGTCCTCAAACTGGAAGAGACAGCTTGGTGTGGTGCCACATAAAAGACAGACCACTTGACTTGTGAAGGAGCTATTGGATTGACCCAAAGGAGAAGAAGTCCACTCTTGCAATAAAGACCCAAGAAGAACATTTATAGAACTTTTTAGATTGGCACGTGTGATCCTAATTCTCCTCTGGAAAAAAATGCAAGACAGGATGCTCAGGATTTTGCTTTTAGTTTCCCTCTCTGCGTGGATGAGCGGGCTGCTATGCCCAGCCGAAGCCAAAGGGACATATTTCCAACCTCCTGCCACGGGAAGGTTCATTCACAGCCTGTATACACCGGGTTCTCATCCCCAGACCTACGGCAAACCCATCACCAAGCACAGGTAAGACAGGTGGCATGTCTGGTGGTCGACGGGCTGTGGTTATGGAGAGTAGCATAGCGTACTGTTTTTTTAGGTGAGTTTGCTGTGTAAAATAAACTCTAGGCATTCATACCATGACCTGATATACGTTTACACAATATAGAGATCACCACTTCTTCATTATATACAGGTGAAACTCGAATAATTAGAATATCGTGCAAAAGTAATTGCAGTAAGTGCTGCAAAAGGGGCCCAAACCAAGTACTGAGTACATATGCATGCTTGTACTTTTCAGAGGTCCGATATTGTTCTATGTACAATCTTCGTTTTATTGATTGCATGTAATAATCTACTTTTTTGAGGTTGTGGATTTGGGGTTCTTGGGGTTTTCATGAGCTGTAAGCCATAATCATCACAATTATGACAAATCACGGCTTGAATTATCTTGCTTTGCATGTAATGAGTCTATCTCATATATTAGTTTCACCTTTTAAGTTGCATTAGTGAAATAAATGAACTTTGCACGATATTCTAATTATTCGAGTTTCACCTGTATAGTGCATAGAGATATCCAATGCTCATGCAGTTACGCATATGATACAATTTTACGGAGAAGGAAGCCCGTGTCTTGATAAGGTCTACCCCAAATCTGTAATATGTTAGTGAAGCACTTACATAGTTATGGATTTATAGATTGCCAACATACCCCATGGCACTGTACTGAGTGATGTGCCCAAGCACTACAGAATCTGGTTGCTGGATTCATTAAGCTATTGAGTTGCCCATTCACAAATAGGACCAAGATGTAATGCCCATGCCAAGGAGACATATGTGGAGCACAAAGGGACTGGTCAAACCTTGCACACATAGTCTAACACACTCTCTATTTTAATATCCCACCTATTCAGTATCCTAATGCATATGATTGGTGCCGGAGTGAATCATGGATTTACTTATCAAGGTGAAGAGTGTAGCGCTGTAATCCATAGCCACCAATCAGCACTTATCTTTTGCTGTAGGGTATTTAAGGTGATGGAATCTGATTGGTTGCTGTGGCTTACTGTGCTCTCCACATCATCCTTACTTGTCGCGGCAAATTAATTATAAATTCATAGGACTAAAAAAGATTTAGTATGCCACTGATACCAATGCCATCACAGGCAGTGCTACAAACAAAGGGTATTACACATAGAAATTTAGGATTGAACAGGAATTGGGACCACGTTTCCATGAGCATTATTCCTTTATACCTTTGTAATGCCTATTCCTCATTGTACAGAACGTAGGTAGGCAGTCTATAGATGGGGGAAGCATGCTGGAACTTGTAGTATAACAGCGTGGATTTGTGTTTCTGTACATGAGGAGTATCGGTGTAGGAGTGGCGGCGTACACAGCCTGATCTTCATTACTCAGCTCATGATATGAGTTGGCCCTCGAGTTCTGTACATTCATTTTATACGAGACGCGTGTTATTAATTAGTGTATAACAATATGGAACATCATTATACAAAGCTATTAGAATTAGTCTTGGACTGGGTGCCCTTGTCTGTGCTTGTCTCTGGCGTGTTGCCTGGAATAATGAGGCAAAATTGTCTCTGTTCTTGATAGCATCCATCTCACAGCATGAGGCTCCGCTGTTAGTATGGATGTGCATGCTTAAGAAGGAAAGGAGGGATGTGTAGTAACCCATAGCAACCCATCAGGATGCTCAAATTGTTGACTTGATTACCTTAATGTGAAATCTGGTTGTTCTAGGTTACATCATCTTTATGCAAGCATACGTAGTTGACCTGAATACCATAAGGTGCTTATACACACCACCTATTCTACCAGCGGGTCCTCCATCGTGCCTCCAATTTGTATTTCAAACATTGCCTTCCCTGAAAGTAGGAACTTAGGTGTACTCCCCATTATCCAACATGAACCGGGCCCCTTGATAGGTTGTTGGGGCACAGCAATTACAGTTTGGCATTCTGGTGGAGCGTGCCCAAGAGCCATCCCTTTAATGGGGTGCGGCTGGGTGGGAGGGGGAAACAGGGGGGCAGCCAGGTGCAGGAGTGGCAGGCCACAGTGTCCCAAGTTGCTAAGAGCTCTTGGCAATCTGTGACGCTCTGTACGGCATCTTGCCCAGCTCACTGACTTCACCG